TTATACTTATTATAATTATTATTAGTTGATACTAGCATTCTATGAGAAGGATTGAATCATGCCATTTAGAACTATTGACTATAGGTCATTTTTTCGTTTTCGGTTCTACATGGGACCTAAGTAGTTTCTTGTATTTTTCTTGTGATGGCTACAATGGATTTTTCTTGTTGTTGAAATAAGTTTTCAATGATAAAAACTGATTTTATTACAAATAGTTAAGCTTCGTTGCAATCTAGCATTCAACTAGATTAGAAATAATACCAAGAGAATATTTATTTGTGGACGTAACAAAACTCAGTAATAATTTTAATTTAGGAAATAGTCTGTTTATAATGCTATTACTTTTGATATCAGAAATATGAAGTATCTTGATTTATAATTTAGTAATACCCTTTTTGGGACACGTTTATACGTATACCTACACAATTTTCTACATACGATGTTACTCTATCACTTAAACACAATTGCTTCGACAAAACTCCTTGGATAAATAAAGCATTGGTTACACAAGGAAAGAAAGTACATAATTCAAAATAAATATTGACATGAGATGCCTTGAAAGACGTAAGAATGGTTCCGAGACTACAACGCTGAGTAAATTGTTATTTCATGGCATATAACATTGTTTTCTTTACATTTTTAGTAATAAATTTTCCTTGCGGTATAGAATCGGTAAGCACAGCTACATATTAAATTATTTTTCCGTTTTTATCGTGAAATTTCCATGACAAGTTTGGTTACAAATAAAACTTTCTAATTTGTTAGACATGCAACTAATTATATACCTTATTAAATTACAATTCTTCTTTAAAACTACTTTTGCTAATTTTAAAAATTAAATTCTGCAAATCTGTACAAAATCATCCTATACTTACTGTAATTTCACCAGCTATTTATTATTTGCTATTTAAATGCTATTATGCAACTAACACCCAAAGCAATTATATTTTATCTGTTGCGATTTTAGAATGCATTTTCTTGCTTTATAAAATCCGTGCACCACACTGGTTTCGAGTACATTGTAGATCAAAAATTATATAGGTACGTTCACTTCCGTTTTGTTTTCTTTAAATAATTGTCCGGGGGCCAAGTTAAATGACGCGAAAACCTGTTCTGCAAATGAATTTAAAAGAACTTTTAAGTCTGGTATTGCGGAATGAATTGTACATAACGATTTTTTAAAGGTGGGTACTTATACCCATGTGAAAACAAATTTAGAGTATATTTGCACATACTAACGACCTCGACAGCGAATATCCTTCTTGAAATTGTCTAAGTACAGGCACATGAGATAAATAAGTACCGTGTGTGGTATGTGGTATAGGCAGATTGTCATGTCCTTAGTTCATTTAGTTAGGAAGTTAACGAATAAAAAGACTTTTGTGCGTTGTGCAAGTAGCAGCGTTACCAGACATTAAATTAATAGAAAAAATAGTAAAGTAGCAAGAAAAGAGTTCTTCATTGCTTTTGAAGCTGTTATACGAGATACATTTTATATCAGAAGCGGAAGGCTGTATCTTCTTTCTAATGCCACCATCTTTATTGGCGCAGGTATTTCTTTAAAGCTTTTTTATCCTAGGATATATGACCGTCATCTTCATAGAAGAGAAATATTATGAAACTGTAACTGAACTTATATAGAAGGGAACACTTCGAAAGCACTCATTACTTTCACAAAAAAAGAGGAAGCTTGGAGGCTTCCGTATCAATCATATTTGGTGCAAGTTCTAGAGCTAAAAGATTTGTGTATCTGGAACATACAACTCTATTCCAAACTGACGTACTGATATGTGACATTGGATATGTAAAAGCAAAATCTATGCAGATAGCCAAGCAACAATAAAAGTTCTGGCAATACACGAGATCAAAACTGAGCTGGAACTACCTTCAAGCTCTTCATAATCTGGCTACCCACAATGAGTTAAGACTCAAATAGGTACCAGACCATGAAAAAGTATTGGGCAGTTAAGAAGCAGATACCCTTGCATGAAATGGACCTACTGGAACTTTTACAGGGACTAAACATGCCTTTATCGGTCCTAAGCTTCCACCATAACTAGGTGGGTAACACCAGTCAGCCATGTCGATGCAAAGACACAGCAAATAGATGGTCAAAATATTATAGGAAAAACTACTTGATTATTTACGGAGTTGCCATCTGGTCATTGTGCAATTAGAAAGACGAAACAACCTCCCATATAGTCTCCAAAAATGAAGTACTAACGTGTTGGGGTTACATAACCTTCTGAGAATAAATTATCTCTGCACAAATATGTTTCCTTTTTAAACATTTAAAAGTATGTACTAGTCACAAGCTCTCTACTGAGCTTTTATTATGTATGCATAAAAAGCAAAACAGAACACATTAATATAAAATATCACCAATATCAAATTGTGAAATAAATTCTGTTTTACTTACCCTAGATGCACTAAGATGTCATAATTTGATGAGTATTAAAGTATTTAAACGAATTGATCATTAGGAACAGGAATTTTTTAAGCATATACGTTTTAAGAGGAAAATGTTGAGATCCCTTTTAGAATATCTTTTTTTGTACGCCACTGACCTTTCCCCGTGCTGATATTTTTTTAGAAATCCGCCATCAATTCTGAATGAACTAGGTCTCTTCAATTTCTTTCGTAGGATGCACCGTTTTTGAGGGAAAAAATAAAACATATTTTATTGCAAGTTGTGTATTTTTAATTTATATTGATACATTATCTAGTAGGTTGCTATCAATATTTCTAAATAAAAAACAACCATCAAATTTCGAGTCAATATCCTTGAAACTCTGAAATAATTAATAAAAATAAATAAATAATTAAAATTTAAACACTGTATCTTGGAAACGATCCATATTTCGACCTACGTTTATTTGAACTTCTTTTCACAAAATAACTTCGGCAGACACACACTAAAATATGTAACACTTATTTACGTATAATTACTACACGCCGTATTACGAAACATCGACGATGACAGCAGGTACAATCACCTTGTATTTGTGCATGCGTCTTACAAAATATAAAATTTTACCAACGTAAATTATAATAACTTTTTTCCTTAATATTGCATTTTAGTGTTGTTCTATAACACATTTGTAACCGATTTGTAAAAAAATTGATGGTTTATGGGAAATTTCTACTTCTACTACTCTACCTCTGTCTACTGGACTATAACTCTTCCCTACGCTTCCATATATTTTCATTTTAGATTTGCTTTTGACCTGAAAATGGCTTTTACCGCATTCTCAATATGTTTTTTATGCAAGACGAATTTTGACTCTTCCTCCTTATAGCCACTAACTTGGAAATGTTAGACTTTTATTGTGGCAGATACGCACTACCACTGAAGTGCTACTTACACTTTCTGGATCAATTTATTTTCTTAATTTAACTCGAACAGCTCTCTGGCGTGTTAAGTTGTAATTACTTTTTCTGTTTAAACAACATATTGTATACTTTTTATGGCTTACCTAAAAAAAGAAAGTACTGTTAAACACGCTAAATGAAAATATGAATCATTTTTTGTTGGGTATGCCTATTTCGACGATTACATAGCAGATAATTTCAACTGCATTACCGGGTAAATCATAAAAATGGAATTCTTTCTTTAGTCCTCGGTTTCATATTTTTATTAATGCGACAATCTAAGCTATCGAAATTCGTTTACCTATTGAAGTTATAATATATAATCGAGTACAGGCATATTACAACAATTATATTAAAAGAAAATATGTTGAGAGCAATACTTTATAACTGCAAAATTATATACCTCCGCGATATTTTTTTTTAATAACATCTTTTCAAACATAATGTGGTTAGTGAAATAACTAATAAATACAGTTGAGGTAGCACATTATGCCTTCTAGATCACATTATATGAAACTGAGGTTTCATATAGAACGACGAACACTCTATTAGCAGAGATATATTATGTATTTTACACAAAGAACATATTTTTAATACCTAACCATATTGATACGATAAAAACTTTTTTTGAAGCGCTGGCTCAACCGACAGATTTGAGGAAAGAAGTACTTTTAGCGTTAGATAATTTCTTTCTTGACAGAAGAAACCCTTGTAACATTATATAGAAGTTACAATTTACTACATGGTTAATTTATAAACCTACTAGCTATGGACTTTACTGTCTTACCTACCATTAATAGCCATTTTGTACCTGTTGTTCTGTAATATCGTTACTTTGTCAGTGTTGTGCATTGCTGTTTTATAAATAGTACTCTTCAGATTTTCAAACAAAAGATAATCTAAAGGAGTTAGATCTGGTAACCTGGCTGGTCACAACGTATCATAAAATTCTTTCAAAAATTGAATTGATGTTTTTGCAGTAAGAGTAACCACTCTTGCTGAAAGTAACCTATTTGCAACTCGTCATCATGTAATTTTACTAAAAATGGCTTTAAAACCAGTATTCGATATATTTCCGCATCTATTGTTTATAAATAATAAGAAATATATAGGCATCATATTCTTGATATCGCTACTCAAAGACTATTTTTAATACTTAGATATAAACATAAACGGGTTTCTGCAAATAAGAATTTTCTTCAGTCAAGATTTGGGATATTTACATAACCTGCAATCTGAAACCATGTTAGTCGTTAGTGAAAAACGACAAGTCCAATAAATTATTTCGTATACACTGTATCCCAAAATGATGGAACAAAGTTCATATTTTTTTCTAGTTCAGATTTTAAAAAAATCACTGAAGTGAATGTTTGAGTTAGAATTTGGTTTCAAATCTTTTGACAATAGCACATTTCTGGTTTAAGAAAGCCTCATAGTCAATGTTTGCATCTGGAAATTCCGTCATAAACTGCTCATCCCGTCATTATTTCGAGTTCAACATCGAAAATGGGCCATCACTATAATGACATCTTGTTCTGTAGTAAAAGGCATAATCCGTTTTGAAATAAAAATATTATTATTAACCCCGATACTGTGTTTCTATTACAACGTATCGGTAATTCACCGAAATGACAAAAAGCTTAGCTATGAACACAATTGGTTAGTTTAATATATATGTACAATATATATTGAGAAATTGTACGATTGTACGATTTAATATTGAGAAAACGAGATTTAATTTTGAGATTTAATATAGAGATTTATTATAGAGATTTAATATTGAGATTTAATATTAAGATTTAATATTGAGACTTAATATTGTGAAAACGAGATTTTTACACCAATCACCTGTCGTGAAACAAAACGTTGCGCTTTAACGTAATCTTGATCTTATTATTTTAGTAATTTAATTAGCAAAATTTAAATGCCAATGCGTAGGAAATCAAATTACTGTTTCAAACAAAATTCTGGTCACATGGTTTGCAATCATGTATAAAGGTTCTTTATAAGGTCACGCTATATGCCACGGTTTAAAGTGATTCCAATCTTCAGGACTGAAGAATTTCAGTACTTGCCATATCTCATCAAAATTAAACACAGAACGGAATTTTTAACTAAACCTCCTACGTCGTTGGTCGACGACTCTCTTACACGCTTCATACCGTCCACCTTTTATTGAATGAAATCGCTCTTGTTTGAGTTTTTACCCGTGCTCCCCGCTTCTGTTAGTTCCTGTAAATATACACGAATGTCTGAGACACGTCCTAATAAATCAGCGAGATAGCATCTCAATTCGGCGTGTTCCTGACACAGCGACAAACACTGTACGTATTTATTGTTCCAGGGATCGGGGAGGCATCCGTCCAACTGCAGGAACCCGAATCGGCCTCCTTCATACAGCGGGGAAGTGACGTCATCCTGAGGTGTCATCTGGATGCATCGGGGGAGGTCCACTTTGAGTGGTTTCGGTAAGTACGGGGCGTTGATACAACGGTGACCCTTAATTTTACACTAGTAGGTATCACTTTCACCCCGACAACATTGTGGGTTTCTGCTAAACTGATCAAGGAGAGGAAACACGGCAATTTGTTTACCGGCCATTACAAGGAGAGCAAAGTGGATTACAATGTCACGCGGTCGCCGTTTTTACATAAATTTATCAGTCTGCAAATATTATTTTTCTTAATTATTCAGTTATTTAATTCAAAGTAAATCAAAAATGTTCCTCTTACTCATTGACATCAATATCTAGACATGGTTAAAACAGTGCCACATGTAAGCTATTAATTAATAACTAACGATGTTGTAGGATACAACTACTCTGCGGACGAAAAACCCTGTCCAGTACTGAATTACATCCGCAATAACTAGTAAAAACTTTATTTAAAAGTCTTGTATTTTCTATAAAATTTGGTATCTATTACACTAATGCAAAAAATTAAAGGATGAAAAGAATTTTCCCAAACAAAGTTTTTTTTTGTTTTTTTTTTAAACCTTCCGGACATTGAAGAAAACAAAATCCAATTGTTTCCAGCACGATTCGGCTTTTCCGTCCTATGCTTCCGTTCATCAACTTTTAATTAAATTGAAATTAAAGTTGATGACCCAAACCAGATGTCGACCCCGATTTATACCGTTTTTTGAGACAAATTTCTAATTAATTTTTGTGCAGTCTGTAATGATTTAAAAAACAGTTTTTTTCTTTTCTGAAAAAAAAATGAAAAAAAAAATTTTTTTCATCAATTTAAACACCTATTTGCAGCAAAAATGTGAAAAAAAAATTTTTTCCATTTTAATCATGAGTGAAGTGTTTAAGCTCAAAAAACGTGACCCTCTAATTTTTTCCAAAAGTTTGACTGTTTGAGACAAAGAAACGGTTCGCTAGATCGACATGAAACTTCACAGTTCTTCTGGGTATTTCAAAAAGAGCTTTTTAACAGGAAAATATGGGTATGTTTCTGGAAAAAATATTATTGATAACGTCATTAGTCGTTTCTGTCAAATCTCAAAGATAATACTTTCAATTAGAAATGGAGCTTACCTCATCCCATTTAACACCACGTGTCCTAAATTTTATTTAAATTTTTTGTATCCTCAGTAGGCCCATAATATCAACTTTGAGACACCCTATACTTTAACGCTGGACAAGGTTTTCATCCGCAGAGTAGTTTCCCATAATGTCGCTGGTTATTAATTAATAGCTCGTGTTTAAAACTGTTAAGGTCACATAAGTAAATCTACAATTTTTACAGAAAAGACAATTTAGCATTTCTCAAAGAGCGTCGGTTTGCTACAAACTTTCGTTGGTACAATTTGGTGCGTAATAATATGGATCCTAGAAGCTGTTTATTTTTCGTTCTCCACAGAGCAAACGTAATTGTTTATTTTCGTTTGATTTTTTTTGTGAGCAAAATTAGTTTTGGGTTATATGCTGCTAATAAGCTATTTTATATACCGGGTGTCCCGAAATTAATGCAACAAAATGTTGTCACAGTTTCTTAAGACAAATTTAAGGGACCGTATTTTTTATTTTTGCTAGTTTTCGGAGTTACAGCCCCCATAAATCCGCCCCTAAGAATAGTCTTTTTTATAATCTCAAAACTTTGTTGTGCGAGAATTACTAAATTTGGTACAGAGGAGTTTTATTCTTCTTTGTTTTCTTTAAAGTACCGCGATATATTGAGTCTTATAACTATTTGTATTATTCATATTATTAATTTGTACAATTTCGAAGTTACGACCCAAACTGTAATAAATATGCACATTTGTTCCAGTAAAAATTTATAAAATTTTAATTAACGTGAATAAAACTACTCAAAGATGATTCTTTATTACAGGAATGCAGACCGTTTAACGAAGTCATCGAGGCTTGAAATTAAAAAGAAAAGGCTTCATATAAAGGCAGTGGAGCCATCTGACAACGGAGTGTACAGATGTGTCGCTAAGAACGAAGCCGGCGTCCAGCACAGTACAAAAAATTTCGTTCTGGCAGTGGCAGGTATTCAGTTCTTGGTTTAATTCAGAATGACTGTTCCTACGGGAGCGGTAGAATGGAAGAGCGATACGCAATTAAACACTTAACTACATCAACGTGGCTGGGCTATTTTTTTATTACTTACAGGGTTTGATTAAAATTAAAATTCGCATCTGACCCTAAGAAATAATTTTTTTATCCTTTACATAAAGTCCGTAAACTGGTTGATGAGTCAGATGTAATTAAATAAAATTGTTTTGAAATACTAAACTTAATACATACAATTTAATATCCCAAATCTTGTTTTTTCTTTGAAATTCTTTTAATAACAATTTCAAATTAATATGTTTTAGAAATCAATTCTACAGGGTATTAATGAACTGATGTCAAGTATATCTGTTATGTCAAAATGAGGTAAATACACGGATTTGTGTTAAGTAAAATGTAATTTTAAAATCTGACTTACCTCAACATTGCAAGGAGCCACCTTTTCAGAACTGCTTATTTTCATAGATGTTCGATGTACCCACCATTTGCTTGCACACAAGCTTCAGCGCGACGCGACGTATCCAATTCGCTCGCACGCGTTGCAACATTGCCACGTCCTCTCGAATCTAATTAGGCTGCCGCGGCTTATCCAGCGATCGCGAGAAGTAATGTTTAGTAAGTCGCGCTGTTTCCGAAAAAAGTGAGCGGGGACTCCGTCATGCAGTAACCACATATTTTCCCGAACATTTAATGGCACGTCTTCCAATAACTCGGGCAAGCGATTTTGCAAAAAATCGAGATATGAAGCACCGTCTAAACGTTTAGGCAATTCAAAAGAACCTATTAAACTGTCATTAACGATACCGGCTCAAAACTGTTGTTGAAAGGCACCGCGACGTATTTCGTGTGGATTTTCGATAGTCCATTGGCGAGTGTTGTGGAGCTTACGTACACCATTTCGAATGAAACATGCTTCATCTGTAACAAGTATTTGCGCTATAAATTGAGGATTTCTTGCATGTTCCCGAAGCAACCACTCGCAAAAACCTCGACGTAGTGGAAAATCCTGAGGAGTAATCCCTTGAACACGTTAAATATGAAATGGGTACAACTGAGCTTCTCGTAATGTCTGCCACACAACAGAATGCGGAATATTTTCGTCAGTTTTCGAAGAACTACAAACGAAATAAACGCTACTAGAAACGATTACAAACGGTTTTAAAGCCAAAACTTGGAGTTTAGTGACTTTTCGGCAGTTTTCGAAGAACTACAAACGAAATAAACGCTACTACAAACAACTACAAACGATTTTAAAGCCAGAGCTTGGAGTGTAGTGACTTTTCGTCAGTTTTCGAAGAACTACATACGAAATAAATGCTACTACAAACAACTACAACCCAAAATTTGAAGTTTAGTGACTTTTCGTCAGTTTTCGAAGAACTACAAACGAATTAAACGCTACTATAAACAACTACAAACGATTTTAAAGCCAGAGCTTGGAGTTTAGTGACTTTTCGTCGGTTTTCGAAGTACTACAAACGAAATAAACGCTACTATAAACGATTTTAAACCCAGAGCTTGGAGTTTAGTTACTTTGCTGTGCGATATTTCTGGTGCTACGATGCCGATCTTCTTCGACGAGATCTAAAATCATCTCCTCGTCATTTAAGATTCTTATTATAGTCGCCCTGGGCCACCGTCGCTACCTCGACGCGGTTGTACTTCACCGGTGTCCAAAACTCTTTGCGCTACAGCAACAGATGTTTGCGATGCGGGGGCACGTCGTTTAGGATATCTTACACAGTACACTTGACAAGCTCTGTAGGCATTTTCGTTTGCTTCGCCATAAATTATGAGCATATCATAATATTTGCGATTGCTAAATAAATACGCCATTTTCAAAAGAAAACTTGGAAATACGGCTATTAAATGTACTCGAAAAACAGCACAGCAATCACTACAACAATGTATTACAAACTGACTTTCGAATACAGTCCGGCTTCATAAGAAACCTACAAACTCGTAAAAAGTGTTACAGAAGTGTAAGTACTCGCCGCGAAAAGGTACATGTCTTTCAGCAGTTCCAAAACAGTTTAAAACACATTTTTAATTAGCTTTTTTCTCCATGACCTTAAACTTCCGATACAAGTTTGTGACATCAATTAACTCAGTTTTTGCCCCCCTTTCATCCCTTAAAATTTTTGACATAAGTTCATTAACACCCTGTATGCTGAATTTGAGAAATTGAATGAATTTATTAAAAAATTACTTGTTTGAGCAGATAACTTTGATTCAGATTTTGTATAACTGATTTATTCGTTGCTGTATATTATCGATATCATTTTCTGTAAGTACAGTTGGTCTGCCCGTAGACTTTCCTTTGCAAATGCAGTCTTTTGACAATAGCTTATATCTGGTTTAAGAAAGTGTCACAGTCAATGTTTTCGTCTGGAAATTCCATCATAAATACAGGATTGCAAAGAGTAAGTCCATGTCCCATCTTCATTTCGAGATCCACTCCGAAAATGAACAATTACAATCTAACCAGTTCCGTCGGACATAAAGGAATAAGGAAAAAATTTAATATTTTGTCTTTACAGATAAAAGACAATAAACCATTCCCAAATAAATATTTCGCATATTTTGTAATTTTTTCAGGAAATTCATCCATCAATCATGAATAGGAAACAATATTGCAATTAAAGTATACATTAATTTGTGTAATGTTTTATATTATGTTGATTTTATGTAAGATAAGCTGCTTGCAAACGATGCTCATAATATTTTCTGGATCTCCACATATAAATACATTTTAGCAAAAAAGATGGAAATACAAAAGCTTTGGAAAATTATTTCCTTAGTTGTTTAAATGAAGATTCTCTTCAGATGATATCTGAAAAATAAATACTTCAGATACCTGCACATCATTTCAAAATAGGTCCCCGGATAGGATTAAGAGAAGTATTTTGACAAACTTTGAAGGATCTTTGTTCTCATCAAAATAGTACAGATTCCTAAACCCACTGGTCTACTCAAAACTGGAATATAAAAAAATTCTTAATCCACTACTCAACAACTAAAGATACAGATTTCAAACTTGGTTAATGCCATTTACTCATATTTGTTGGTTGCAGTTATTCTTTAAAGTATTGGATAATATCGGAATTAAAAAAATTCATATCAAAAAAGCCTATATGGCGTTGATGAAAATCTTACTCTACTTATACATATTTTGAAAAACCATATCCAACTAAACGTTTTGTGTCTATTATATATTTTTTCGTAAATTGTGACAATATTGTGAGCGTCATCATCAATGAATGACCAATGACCAGCAAAAGCTGTTCTTTAAAACAAAATCAACATATTATTACGTAATGCTTGCAAATAATGCTCAAGAACAAGAAACGTGATAGAGGAGTTTTTTGTTTTTTTTATAACACAAGAATTGGCAGAACTTTGTAGTTTAAACCAAGAAATCTATCACCAATTAAATTGAATAGATCTTCTACAAGTTACAAAATGGTCAACAAATTAAGAGTGCACATATTTAAAATTTTTTGAATAATCGAAAAAATCGGCATAAGCGACACGTTCACGAATATATTCAAACATGAAACACACACATAATGTATTCCAATTTAAAATTTCATGCTTCTAGGAATTTGAAAAATGACCCAGCCTCAATGAAAACCATTTTTCTTCATCATACCACTACTTGATTAAAAATTTTAATTAGTAAATAAATTTAGTGTATCATTTTTCACTGTCGGGCAAACCAATTTCAAAACTGAATTACTGAGAAACTACATAAATTTATTTTCTAGGAGATCAAACAGCTTTAATTCAAACAGTGCCTTCTGATCAAATTACCAGAAAAGGCGGAGCGGCCTTTTTTGACTGTTCCTATCAACATGCCGATGTTATTGAATGGTACTTTAAAGACAGTGGACCACTTGAGACCAATAACAGGTAAAGTACATTCATAGATTTACGAGAATTACTACCTGCTTCGAGTTGTAACCTGGTCATAAAACAAACAGGTCTGAACACAACAGTCCGAATTGTATTTCAAGAATTTAATAAAGTATAGTTATAAGTATTCTTATATATTTGTAGGATCATCATACATTCAAACGGTACTCTCCAAATAAACGATGTTAGTGAAGCAGACCAAGGCTTATATAGCTGTATAGGAATCCGTAGCGAATCTGCCGAAGTTCCTCAAAGTTACACCGCTGAACTCAAATTAGCATGTAAGTTTAAACCTTCCTTTTTCTAGCACCTTTTTACCGTTAAATTTTAGATTTAGAACCATTTACTGCTACCTCATTCGAACCACCACTGCCAGAAAACTCTCAAAAAATCATTGGTGAAGGATCTTTATTTGAATTGACTTGTCTAGAACCAAACAGCTTCCCCCCAGCTAAGAAATGGTGGGAAAATTCTAAAGGTCATACAGTAAGTACTTTTCAAACAATGTTGTCTTCCTTGATGCTAACTATATCTTTGTCCAGATTTCTGACTCAGGAGAAGTAAGAGTAGATGATGGAATGCTCATTATTGAAAACATAACGATGCAAAAAAGTGGAGTATATAAATGTGTTGCCGAGAGTATTGCAGGAAGGACGGAGAAAAGTGTCGAAATTATCGTTACTAGTGAACCTGAAATAACCACTCACCCTGAAAGTGTCACGGTAGATGAGAATGAAAAGTCTGTTTTAAATTGTAGTTTCGAGTCAAAGTCATTGCCCTACACTACAGTCAAGTGGAGGAAAGACGGGAAACCATTGAAGCATGATTTTGATGAATCAAGCTCTAATCATCAGAGAATAAGAGTTTACAAACATAATGGCACTTTGTTAATCCACAATACTCAAACTTCTGACAGAGGGGAATATGTTTGTGAAATTTTAACTACTGGACATGAACCAGTTTTATCGAAACCCGCCACGATTTCAGTCATTGGTAAGTGTAAAGTACTCAAAAAGTTGGGTATTAAATAAAAAGTAATAGTATAATAGTAACGTATCAAAGTAAAGGTGAAAGGAATTGATTGTTTGTATTTATTTTGTTAATGTTTTTTATTGTTTTTAAACTGATATGTGTGATTATTAGAACAATTGAAGTTCACACCTGCTCCTGTCAATAAGAAAATGGAACTGGGAAGCATAGCAAAAATTCACTGTAAGGCCCAGGGAACACCACCTCCCATAATTCACTGGGAAAAAGATGGACTATCATCCGAAAACTTTCCGAGTCATATTTCGGACATGAATGGTACTCTTCATTTCAATGGAGTTTTAGCAGAGGATAAGGGTAGATATACTTGCATTGCAAGCAATAGCCAGGGTGTTATTAACGCATCCATAACGATTGATGTTGTTGGTAAGTTTTTAATAATTTATAAAGTAATTCAGATACAATAAGATGTATTTATTGTAGTTGCTCCCAAGTTTAGCATTTTACCAAAAAATCCAACTGAAGTCATTGAAGGACATTCAGTTATGATGGATTGCGTGGTAGAAGGAGACCCTAAGCCCACAGTTCACTGGGATAAGAATTTGAAAATGAACGATTTTGATCCATCTAGATTTAAGGTACTACCAAATGGTAGCTTGCAAATCAGTGAAGTGCATAGAGAAGATGAGAATATCTATGGATGTACAGCTGGCAGTAGTGCTGGACTAAACAGGAAAGAAGTTCAACTGCTGGTTCATTGTTAGTATAAAGTATACACTCAGTTCTTGATTGTAATATTTACAATTTTTCAGCGCAAGATGGATATCACCCGGAAACGGATGGAGACTCCACTGTAACAAAAGCTGTTTTAATCACCATGTCAGTCGCTGGGGCGTATATTGTACTGGTTATTGGCCTGATGGTTTGGTGTCGATATAGAAGGCGATCCAGAAAACTCCCTATAGGAGATGGTTTGTAGTTTTCCATTAACATTTACTATTAAAATATAAACACCAAAATTGCCATTGATATCGATATATTAAGCTGTTATTTATGTGTACAAATTTTATTAATCAATTATTTTTTATTTTAGTTTCAAAGACTGAGAATGGTGATGTGGAACATACAGAGCTGAAGGATGGAGCTAATGGTAGTACACCTGGCCCATCAAAAACCAAAGCAAATGGCATTGAAACCCACAAGGAAGGTCAGAAGAGTGATGGAGCAGAGACAACAAATTCTCAAAGCTCCAACCATTCCAAAAAGTCTAAGTCAAGCAATTACGATAAGTTAACGTTATCTAGAACACATCTAAAAGAAGTGAAACTTATAGGTGTGTAACAAGTACACTCTAAAACAATATTTTTGAAGAATTTTACTATGATACTTATAATTGTTGTATTTTTTAGGGAGGGGAGAATTTGGCGAGGTAATGATAGCCAAGATTACTAAGAGTATCTTGATATCAGAGAAGAGGAATTCTCAAAATATTACACCCACTGATTCGCCAGCAGAGGAAAAAGAGCTCCATGTTTTGGTAAAAGCGCTAACGCAAACCAAAGACGAAAACTGCTTAGCAGAATTTAAGAGAGAATTAGACATGTTTAGTAAATTGTCTCATGAAAACATCAACAAACTGTACGGTTTATGCAGAGAAGTAGAACCACATTACATGATTTTGGAGCATACTGACTGGGTAAGAATTTTATTTTATAATTTGATTTAATAAAATTCTAATTCTAATGACGAATTTTATGTATAGGGCGATTTAAAGAAATTTTTGATGGCCACACAAAATGACAATCCACCAGCACTAACAGCCGTTCAAAGCGTAGCGATTCTACATCAAATTAGTCGTGGTATGGATCACTTAGCAAGTAACAGAATGGTTCATAAAGATTTGGCTGCTAGAAACTGTCTGATCTCTTCCACTCTAGTAGCCAAAGTTGGTCTTCCCAGATTAACCAGAGATCCTTACAGTCAAGAATATTGTAAACATGTCAATCAGGTAAGAGTCTTACAGAAATAACCAAAACGTAGAGTTTCACCATTTCTCTATCCGCAATGGTGACATACAGGGTCCACTTCTATTCGATGCAGAAAAGTCCAACCTATACAACGATATCAAAATCACTCCGATCGGACCACCCCTGTGCCCAGCAACCGCGACTGAACATTTGTTACACTTTGAAAGTTTATACTCTCCTATACACATATATAATTTCTTAACATCTGGTGTTACACCATCATTTTTTTTAACATTTACAAAATGATAAATGCAAAAAGTAAATAAATACCTACTTAATAAAAAAGTCCAAACATATTGATATCTGTTGGTCTTATAGGAATAACACGTCAATTAAACAATCACGCACTTCTAATAGTGCGTGATGCAGTTTCAATCTAAATTGACAGTTCTTTAATATCAAAGACTTCCTTGTCATCACTAATTTTTTTAAATATCCCGAAAATGAAAGTTTAGATGGTTTAAGTTAAGGTGAACGAGAAGTCAATATTCAGTATTTAAATCAGGAAAGTATTAGCGTTGTTGATAATTTGCTAGCAACTAGTTGTAGAAGTCCACATGTAGAATATAGACCTTTTGCACATGAAACGAACACAGTTGTTCTTCTCTCAATGTGCTCCAACCAGTGGCACTTAAGAATCAACCATCTTTAACGAAACAAAAATTCTAGCCTGATACTCAGACATTGGGTTAAATGTGGTCATTGCAAAACATTCCATGTACTCTTTGTACTTAGATTTGATGCCAAAATATCAATAAAAATTAAAAGTACATGACAATGACAATCAGTTACAATGGACAGACAAAAGGAATTATTAAATAAAAGGAAGCTATTAAAATACATATTTACTCACAAACTTGGTGTAATTCTACTGTTTAGCAAAATGCATCGTGTTACGTGGGAAGGTTAAAACAGTAGCACTGATTATTTTTTTAAATTTTTCTTAGGAGAATTTATATTTACCTTTATTTCCTTGCAGGTAATTCCTTTAAGGTGGCTTCCATACGAGGCAGTTTATGAAGATGAGTATTCAACTAAAAGTGACGTATATGCATTTGGTGTGCTGACATGGGAAGTTTTTGCACAAGGGGAGTTGCCACAATCCAAAATAAACGATAACAGTTTCTTAACTAAGCTTAAAGAAAAGAAACTGGAATGGAAACCACATTCCTCCACACCTGAAGCTTTAGCAACAACGCAGGTATGATAATTGACAATTGTTCTGATGAGAAATATTTTCACTTAATTATTAATTTTTCCTTTTTAGGAGTCTTGTTTGGACCTAGATCCTAAGAACAGGCCATCATTCTCCGAAATATGCAAGGATCTTGAGGAACAGCTTAAGTCTATGTAAATACAAATATCTAGTGTTAAGCCACAAAAACCAAATTTATAACTTGTTTTAAAACGAATTATTAAATAATCGTAAGCTTCCATTTATTAAAAGAAATGTGTCAGCCTTATAGCAATGTTGAGAATCATATGTACTTGTAATTAGTTTTAAATTTATTTATTTTTTACTTTAAGTATAAGACGTATCTTAATCGTATTTATTTTTTGTACTATTTTCTAATTGATCTCAAATTTATTCTTTGAATTTGATCCGAATCCTCTTTCTATGTATACATTATACATGCACTGCAAATTTTGTACATACTATTTAATTTAGTGGTAAGGATACAATGAAATTCTAAAATTTAACGTTTTTCTGTATATGTCATCATTATGTTACCACTTGGTGTCAAAAATCCAAATTCTTTATTTCTTCATTGATTTTTCGTATTACTGATACTTTATATTTTGCATATTCTTCTGCACAGACTTGTAAAAATTGTTGGTGCGGATGTGAAAGGGCTAATTGTTTCATTTCCTTTAATTTGAATGATATGTTGGCACCCTAAATATAATTTCCCAACATGAACTGAAGCATTAAAATTTTCCTGGCTTCCAGTTGAGATAAAAGATCAGATGGATTTGTGTGTTTCTTCGTTACAGACTTGTGAAAATTGTTGGTGTGGATGTGAAAGAGGCGAAATGAACAGAAGAATTACAATTTTCCTTGCTTGCACAGTTCAGATAAAATATCAGATTGATTTATGTCTCTTCTTCTACATAGACCTGTAAAAATTATTGGTGCGGATGTGAAAGGGACTAATTGTTGCACTTCCTTTAATTTGAATGATGTATTGACACCCTAAGTATGATTTCCCAACATGAACTGAAGAATTACAATTTTCCTTGCTTTCAGTTTGAGATAAAAGATCAGATGGATTTGTGTGCTTCTTCTTTACAGACTTGTGAAAATTGTCGATGTGGATGTGAAAGTTGCTAAATGTTTCACTTCCTTTAATATGAATGACGTATTAACACTCTCAATATGACTTCTTCCCAGCATTTACTGAAAAACTGCAATTTCCTTTCACTAATGGCGTGAATCTGCCGGAAAAACATGTTCTTAGAGCTCTTAAGGAGCATATCTAAGCTATATTTTTACAGACTTCCAAACCTATTGTGAAATACAAAATTAACGGCAACGGAAATTTATTTAGAAATAGTGTAGTGAATATTTATAATGTATACATAAACCCCCTTTCTGCATTACTTAATGCACAAGAGTCAAAGACTTAATTTCGTAAACGAATTATAAAAATTGTACATATCATTTTTTAAGTTAAGTATGTTATTGTAAAGCATATCATTATAGAATAATTTTATGTTCACTTGTATATTGAAAGTCTCAGAGCCACACTACACTGCCAAAATACTCTAAACGACTTTGTATACAATCTAAATAGAGACTGTTTTTTTTAATGTCAATAAATATATCCTAGTAACCATCAATAGGTGGATCTTTTTATATAACATTTTTATATTGCGGTTTGGACAAGTACAGGAACTAACGAAAGTTAAATAATTTATATTTTTGTTGTATTAAGTTATCCAAATACCAAAATTTAGTGAAATATAATACGTAAATCGTTTGATTTGAGTAATAAGAAATATGTAAATTGTGACTGTTTTTTAGTGTTTGAATGATCTACCTTCACTTTTTCTGCCAATGATATCATCTTTGTCTCTTTCAGGAATGATGTAGTGAACATTTATATTCACCACTATGCTTTGAAAATTTAATATATTTAATTTAATTAATAAAATTCTTATTCCATATTGCATTGCATATTTTTAAAAAGTATTGATTCATAATTACATTGGCACTGTTCTGATACTCTGATGGAACTTCTTTTTTCAAATGAAAAAGGCATAATAAAACTATTGAATTGAAAAAAATATATATATAAACGTCCAAAAAACTCTGAGTATCATGTAATTAGTGTAAATGTATTTCTTAATAATTTGAACTTGGTACAAATCAAAAAGATTTTTTTATTTATTTGATTGGGTGAAGGAAATTTTAATACCTGTACGTCTTTAAGCGGCTTGTTCAAACTTATGTATCTAAAATTTCTATGCAATGATTTAATTTGAGTTTTAGATTATATAAAAAGATTCATGGCATCAACATAACATCTATAATCCAGTGGATTTATGAGTGATTTTGCTCATAGCTTTTATAAATGCACTTTTGTATTATAGTAGATTGTTATTACCAGTAGGGGTTTTCGTCCTGTAGATTAGGAGAATGTTTGAATTAATTCAGATGAAATGCCACTGTATAGGTAAATGATGTGGTAGGTATATTTCCAAATTAATTTTTAAAATATGTTTACATGTATAGTTAAAAAAATTCTTGCCAGCATTATATTTTTAGTTTTAACTGAGACTGATTATGATAAAACCAGTGGTAAGACCCATTAGAATTTTATGTTTCTGATATCAACAAATTTTCAGATCTTGTTGCTGCTGTACTATAAATACCTAAATAAAAAAACTTAGTGTGTTCATCTGAATTAAATAATTTCAATACACTATATTTATGTTGCTTTGACGAAGTTCCCAATACTTAGAAATGTAGGAAAATTTCATGTCATTTTTGTCATTATATTAATGATATTTTACTTTTAATAAAACTTGGACATGAAATCTGATTTGACTCCGTTTTGTTGATTGAACAGAAATGAGTTTTAAATTGTAAAATGAATGTTGTATTTATATAATAAATGTACATTAAGAAACCCATTAATTTTAAAGTAGTCATATTACTCAATATTAAGATATAATTATAAGGTCTTTGTATAAACCAAATAAATAAGATCTGTCCATATACTTTTACAGTTGTAGCTTTTTATAATAATTTTATATGAGTACTGTAATGTCCATTTTTATATAATTATGCATAATCATCTTGTGATATGTATTCTAAATTGAAAAATATATAAATGTGTACTAAATTCGAGTTTAAATTATTTTTCAACCCTTTAAGACTAGTACCTACTAATGTTATATTATGGAATAAGATAAAGTATCTACAGGGCGTTAGAAGCTTCACTGCCTTAATTTTAACAGACTTATATGACATGGGTCCTAAACTTAACCATTTCCGAGAAAAAAATTATCAAAATCTCCCACTTGATGTACAAAAGTTCGATTAATTAAGGAATATTAACATAACTGCTTTCACAGAATACCATAAATAACAATGTTTATCACTTTTTGTAACTTCTTTATGCTTAATTCTAAAAAATAATTAGCGTTGTAATAAATTTAAAATTCAATAAAATTCATATCAAGCAATGTGACCACGGCGCGGCAGTTAACACGAGGTACTAAGCTGTCCAGCGATACGCAATTCAGTTGGCGTTGGTATCTGGAACTGGATCATGTCGGAGTGTTTTTGTGTACCACATCGAAAATGATGGTGGACATTTTGAGCATAATTATGTTGTTTTTTCTTGTGCGTTTAAAAATTATTGAATTTTGCTTTTTGGTAGGTCCATAAATTATTTTTAATACGTATAATTATTTGGATGACGTGAATTTTTGGGTACTTTAATTACATATTTTTCATATTCATAATTTGATTAAAAGTTAAGTTCCCGTTTTAAGAGATTCATAATTACTAAAATTCGAGCTAAAATTTAAACACAACACTATTTTCATACTACAAAATCGATACATTTTATTTTATTTATTTAAAAACTGGAAAACAATTGTCATGAAATTTACTAAATGTTTCACAATAATAGTTGTTTACATTTTTGTTATTCCGTAGGACAAGTCTACCGCGTGCACACTTGGTGTGCATCGGCTATGTAGCGCTGTTGTCACGTTGTGATGAAACTGCCCAATATTAATACTCCTTGTATTTCGAAAACTGTTATTCTTACGCCCCTGTAATATACAACTTTTTCGTTCATTTATGATCACTCTATCTCTTGCTGAAGTTATGGCAGTCATACTTCTTACACCCTGTATATGTAATTAAGTCAGTAAATAAGAATAATTCATACATGTTTAGAATAAATGTTATGAATTTTGGTACTCAAATTACTGTGAATAAAAACTATGTTTTAAAGTAGACAGTTTTATTATTAATTTTATCTTGAATATGTCGACGTTATTCCTTGAAGATTTAATGTAGTTTCTGGTTTTACACAAAAAGTAAGACATTGGCATTATAATTTATGAAAAAAGAATGACCATCTACATACAATTAAATTATCAACTGAATAATAGACTGAATAATGAGAGGTCAAAGATAGAACTCTGAAGAACCCCTGAAATAACTTACAAGATTTATGGGTCCAATACACTACAAATTAAAATCTATTGCGAAGATATTTGATCAAGTTTATTAGACACATAGAACAACCAACACAGTTTATTTATTGTTATTCTGAGATCAACACAAAACTTTCGAAAAATTTGTGTCAATAACATAGGATTGTCATCCCCCCCTTTATTGATATCAGAAGGAATGAATTAATTCAGTTCATGTAAAATCAATTATTGTTTTTCGACCTTGAAAAATCCATGATGATACTTAGTGGTCATACATCTTGTATGGAAAAATATAGTATCAAGTAGAAGCATTTCGAACCATTTAGAAGAATTTTCAATTACTATACCTACTACTGAGCCATAGTTTTTTCTTAAATACAGAAACAGTTATAGATAAATGAAAATATCCATATGCAAAGTGAGGTTACACAAAGCTGCCAAAGGATTAGAAATTATTACTGCACAGTCTTTGAATAAATATACTGAAATAATTTAACAAGTTATTGACACCTGCAATATCAAAATTAGAAAAAATTACAGTTACATTTGCTTGCTGCATGTTTTATGCTTTTAGTTCTCCTGTATTTTTGAAGAAAATTATTTTCTTCTAATTTCAAAAATTAAGTTTATTATCAAACCCATGATTAAAGAATAAAGTTTCTTATAAATTTCAGTTGTTTCAGTATTAGCATCAGTATATTAATTTACAAAATCCCAATAAACAACTAATAAAACTGATAAAGTTTCCTAAAATTAGCTTCCCTGAAACTGAAATCAGCAGATTTATCATCATTCTTGTTCTTGTAGTTTAAACTATATGCATTTTATGAAAAAACAGGAGGACGATCTATATACATATACATATGTATATGGCGATCATAAGTGTATTGAACTTTTGACAATAGCAAAAAATAATAATAATACAGCGTTCCTTTCCTTCTCCTTTTCCA